GCTATCTGTCAGTATGCGCTGGCTATCTTGTGATACTCTGCAATCTGTCACGATGTTATTTCAACACTTGCCATTCCTTCCGTTCTCACTGACATGTCATGCAGTAACGCCTCAACTGGAACTGAGCCTTCCAAAACGAAGCAAGTGGCCAAGCACTTGTCCTCCACCATACCATCGAAGTACCAGGGGGTCGTTAAGAAGATTGCGAAGCCCGACGCCATCAAGATAAACAAGTGGTACACGTGCGGGTAGGTACAACATAGATTGATGTAGTAGACATGGGTACTTTTCTGTGAAAGATCACATAACGCTGGCACATTTTCAGGTTCCTTATCCTTGGGGTTACCTGGGACACCCTGTCGTCCGCACTGGCGAAGAAGGACAAGCTTAAGGGCGCGGTGAAAAAGACAACCGACGTTGTTGACCTTAAGAACTTGGGGAAGCGGTGGATGGTGGCGCTCTTCAAGTCACTGACTGGAGAGAGCCTGTCAAAGCTTCAGCAGGAAGACAAGGCTACGTACGACGCTGTCTATGACGCCTTGAAGACGAAGCTGCAGAACGCGATGGTCAACCATCAGTCAGGTAGCCAGGGTGATGTTTCGGAAACCAAAAGATATTCAATCAAACTGTGCGTTACACCTCACACTCCCACAGTGCTGATCTTTACGTTAGGGTTTGAGTAACCCGCGTTTCGGATGCCGATGCATGCAGAGAAGAAGAAGTCGGACTTCTTCAAGGCCATCGGACTGACGACTGCAGACAAGGCTAAGCTCGAGACCGTGGCGACCATGGACGCCGTCCGTGCGACCGAGCTCAGAACCTGTACCCATCAGAGAAAAAGCACAACAGGGCACATCACATGGTTCAAAGACTGAACCCTACATGGTTCATAAGTGGAGAGCCCCGCCTCAAGGTAAAGGATGTGGACAGACACTACACCCAAGAACCACGTGGTGGATTACTGCCCCAATACTGCCCCATGACTTCATGTGTAACATTCTTTGTCTTTGCATGGCAATTGTTCGGGATGGCTCAAAAATTTACAAGGGATGCGACATACCTGCAACCCCGGCCGTCTTGGTCTGAATGTTGTTGTCAGAGTCGTACTCAACCAAGCTGTCACTGGCGTTTGCTGCACGCAAACCTTGGATGCCAAGCACCACCACGTCCTTGATGACACCCCCGATGGTGTGCATCGCGTCGTATTGAATCATTTTGGATGGATCAAAACCTGGCAGGGTGTATAGTGGACACGCTTCCTTGAGCCCCCGGTGGCTGCGTCAACTTCACTGAAGGTGAAG